ACCAGGTGCTGGTGTTCCAGAATCTCAGATTATATCCAGGCAGGAATGCTTGGCTCCTCCCTCTGGGCTCACATCTCCCAGTGGGATGCTGTAGCTCTTATCAGCCATGCAGTGACATTCAATGGCTGTTATCAGCAGATGTCCCCTCCCAAGGGAGGAGTGATTGTGGAGGCGATGAGGAAAAAACTGCAAAACTGCCTACTTGACAAAAGACAACTGCCATAGGGATGGTGATAGAACACATCTTGCCTTGCAATCTGGGACAGAGGGCTGGTCCTGCTGGGAGCTCCACCTGAGCAGCAGGGGCGAGTGGGAAACCAGACAGGTGGACAGAAACAGCCAAAAGCTCTATTTTTCTTTCCCTCTCTGACCAGAATGTTTCCTAGTAGGAAAACATCAGAGTTTACTAATTCCTTTTTTTCATTATTATTGTTTATTTTAATGCCAATATTGTAAAGCAGGGCACCCCTGATGTAGGGAGTAATTTGTGCCTGACTCTATTGATTCAGAAGGCTGAACAATTGCTTCATTAAAACTATTTTATATTACATTATACTATACTATACAAAATATACACACTAAAGAAAGATTTGCAACTGTCTGAGACAACCAGGACACAGCTTTGAGTGATTGCCTAAGGAATCAAAACAATCCTCAGTAGAATCCAACTGACAAATCACGTCAGGTAATCCTCCTAACACATTCCACATTCCACATGTGCAAACCAACAGGAGCAGCAAGTAGATAAGAATTGTTTCCTCTTCTTTTCTCTGTGCTTCTCCAGGAAAAAAAACATGGGAGAGAGAATTGTCTCTCTCTGTTCAGAGAATGTGAATGCACCAAAACTTCTTATTTTCTTTTTTCAATATCAGAACTTCTTATTCTCCACCAAAAGATCTCCAAGCCCTTGGTGGAGCCTGTGGGTACCTGCCAGATGTCCCCCCCACCTTGTCTCGGTGCTGGTCACACCCGGAGGGATGATGACAAAGCTGGGGGTGACTCCAGCTCTGAGCCCCAACCTGGAAAGGGTTTTTTTGCGATTTTCCCTTTTGTTTTCTGAAGTGAATTTAATTTTCGCCTGTGACTTTGTCGATAGAAGACATTTGGTGACATCACAGAGCGGCGCAGGCTGCGGGAGCGGCTGCACTGCAGGAATTTCACCTGGTACCTGCAGAACGTCTACCCCGAGATGTTCGTGCCCGACCTGACCCCGACGTTCTACGGAGCGGTGAGTGCCGGGAACGGCCCGGGGAGCACCCGGAGGGTGGTTTGGGGGCTTTGAATTGAACTGGGGAGCTGGTGCTGCCACATCTGTCACCGTGTCTGTCTGTCTGTCACCTCATCTGTCACCGGCTGGCAGGGCCGGTTTGGGCTCCGGCCGAGCTGGAATCCGGCAGAGCTGGTTTAGGGTGAGTCCCGGGGTGGGGAATCAGTGGGGATGTGGACTTGGGTTAAATTCGGGGGAAGAGCTGAAAACTTTCTTGAGCCCCAAACACCGTCCTGGGACAGGGAGGGCTGGAAAAACTGAGCTTGGGATGGGATGGGATGGGATGGGATGGGATGGGATGGGATGGGATGGGATGGGATGGATGGGATGCTCCATCTCCATTCCGAGGTAATCTGGGCACGGCTGGGAGGCAGGACCCCGTCTCCAGCCACCCATCCACAGGGAAATGGAGACAGGCGGGATGTGGAGGGCTGGCTCCGTCCCTGAGGGAGCTCGGGACAGCAGGGCACGGAGCTCTGGCTACGTCCCCGAGGAATTGAGGGCAGGCAGGATGAGAGGCTCCAGCTCCATCCCTGAGGATGGGATTCCCCTGAGGCTGGAAAAGCCTTTTCCCTCAAGCTGGGTGTTGGATCCTGAGCCTGCCCCTTCTCAGCCAGGGCGATGTGACAGCAGCTGGCACGGCCAGCACCCAGCCCAGCGACAGCCGGGTGACAGCCATGTGCTGGGTGCTGGCTCCCATCCAGCTTTTAATTCACCTTCATTTCCTGAAACCTCCGCCCGGTGCCTTTCCCTTTGCTCCGCGTGCCGGAGGCGATGGCTCGGGCGTTCCTCATGTCCTGGAAAGGACACGGGACCCGGAGCCGGCGCTGGCTGCCGGGATGGTGTTTGCACAGCGATAACCCAGAGCCCTGCACGGCCAAACCCGAGCCGGTCCCACTCTGGCTCTTCTGAGCCCTTCTTTCCTCCACTCTCCCAGACTTTTTCCTCATTCCTGCCCCTTTTTCCCCCT